AATACCACCAAGCCTCTAACAAACTTCCTCTAGAAAGAGGTCATTATTGTTACAGTATGAATGCCCCCGTGAATTCTTGACGGTACACATGAAGAAGCTTGAGGAGGTGATAACTTGAAAATCAAACTGCGGTAATCATGGGATAGCATGCACAACCTCTAAGTCTATTCCACCTTGCAGCAACAGTATGATTATGTCTATCATACACGGACCTTAAACCTGCGGCAACAGAGGACTGTTCGTTTAGAACTTTCTAAATTGAGTTAAGGAAGAACATAATGTAATGCTATTATAATCATTTGCCAAATATCTAAAGAATTCCTCATCGAACTACGCAACAACCTTTTGTCCAAGCCTCAACGATAGCACCTGCAAAAGCACAAAAATGAGTGAGGATCTTCGTAGCAGCAAGTCACAACTCTGTCCAAGGAAACGGAAGATCCATCAGTCGTCAACCAATCACGACAACACGGTGGAACCTGTCAAGATCAGCAGCAATACTCAAAAAAGTTAATTCAAGGAGAAACCTATTTGGAAAGAGATAGAGTCCTCCGTAGCATCACCAGTACTAAATCTCAAGCCGGGAGGCATTTGAAGAGCCTATCACGTGACCGCGCGAACATTGTTATAACAACAAAGTCATCAGCCACCGGTGTCTTCACCTAAACGACCCAGCTACAATCTACAAAGCAACACAAACCAGTAATCAAACAGAACTTACTTGAGGATCAACAACGGCAGTTTGAGTCAAATGAGAAAACTCACTAAGGTGCTGGAGGAGCCTTTTGATACTGTTGAAAATAATAAGGTTATGGAGATAAGAATGCAGATAACAGATCTGACAACACTGATTGATGGTCTTTGTAAACAAAAATGTATGAGTGCATCGAGAATGCTTTACTGGGTTCTATTAATCTTGGAACCATAGATCAAAAGGCATAGAGAGAGCTTCAGAACTTCAAGTTAAGGAGGACTTGCGAAAGTTTATGCGAAAATGGAAGGCATAGATGTTTGCTCAGGTCGGTGCTAGTAGGGACGATAGTTCTAGTGATAAAGCAACGAGAGTAGATCGCGGTCACTACTTTTGCAACTCCTGCGGGACACAGCATCTTATTGTCAAAACAAATGAGGGTCAAAATAAACGCATCAGATGCATAACTCACAAGTGTATTTCCATCTTCGATGAAGCTGTTGTAAGAACCTTACCCGGTAGAAAGCACCCTGATATGGCAGAGAAGTATGAATGGTTTCTTCTTGAATCCTACATCAAAGACAATAAAAGAGTTAAATGGTTCCCGAACACACCACATTGTGGGAATGCAATTCGTGTAGAGGGTGATAAATGGTGTGAAGTAGAATGTTCATGTGGACACTAGTTTGTCAGAAGCGCACTCACCCTGTTCGTGCTTGATGTAAGAGCTCTGGGAAAAGAAGTGTCGAGATGAATCAATAACGGTTATCACCTTAAGATTTCCTTCCCCCAAACATCATCGTCAAATACATGAACAGAAAAGCGATGTTAAACATATATCCAACACGAATGGAACAAGAATAGAGATTGATTTGAAAGGAACAACGTACCCTGCGTTCAGCTTGTGCGCAAAGAACAATTGCAACTGTTATTCTTCATCGCCAACTTTGTTTTTCGTGAAAGTTCCCACCAGACAAATCAAACACGAGCCTCTCCCTTTTGGGCTTCTAAATTCATCAGTTGGCCCAACAACTCGTTCGCTTCCCACACCTACAAAGCGCGAATCCAAAATTAGCAAATTAGTTGAAGAATATTCCACAAAGGGATCCAAAAATCCTATCCAAATCCATAAAACATTGAACCTGGACAATATTGAACAAATTGATACAAGATATCATAGATTGGGATCTCCATTAACAAACATTAAACAATCGCACGAAATAGGAATATTTTCAAGTCAGATTGGTCCCAATAAGGAAAATCCCAATCAACAATCAATCAGCATTCAAATCGTTTTTTAATCCAAGGTCTATATAAAGAGATGAGGGGAGGAAACGGAAAAAGGACAGCACGCACAAAATCCACAGCTTACACAGAGAATCCCTAAATCCCAAATCAAAGAACCGATGCAAAACCTAAAAGAATAAAAGACTTATCTATATCGTCATCTCGAACCCCCGCCGGAAACCCTAACAACCCATCAGCTCCACCGTGAACTTCACCGATCCGCCGGGAAGCCAAAACAAACCTTCATTTGCATCAGAACCCATCGCCGTCACCAATACCTCACGGTAACTATCGTTTTTAAATATGTAGAAATATTTGATTGGTTTGTGTTTGTCTTCAGGAAAGAAGAAGTAGGGCCGCAAACGAGAGAGAAACGGAAGCCATGGTGAATGGCGATCGAGAGAAGCATAGAGCATCGGAGGAGAAAGGAAGAGAACGAGAATGACGGCGCGGGGAGGGGAACCGATTGGGAATTAGGGTTTTCTCCTTTTTTTCTTTTATTATTATTATTATTGTATAATTAATCACTAATCACTACACACATACCACATACACACCTTAATCCCACGCTTAACTCTCCTAACCAGTTTTTTAATTATCTAATCAACATTTAAAAAAAAAAGCTAAGTCACCCTTTAATTATTTTTAAAATTAAACTAGCTAAATAAATCTGTTCTTCAATCATCTTTTTTTAAAAAAATTAATAAATCATTTTCTTTACAAAAATAATAATGTGTTTTAAAATCATTCCATATTTCAGACAACCTAAAAAAATAATAATTATAACAAACTTTTATCTAATTTATTTCAAATCTTTTATTAATAAGTTAATTATTTTTATTAAAAATCAAGTCGCCAACCAAACCTTTCATTATTATTAAAATGGAACTTTTATTTAAATCAAATAAGTACAATTTTCTCAAATCAAATAATACAACTTTTCCTTATAAATCCATTCATTTAAAACAAATAATACAGTTTTTCTCAAAACAATTCAACCAACATCGAAAATGCAAAATCAATCGTGCACACCCACTTCACGACACTTGCACTTACACCTCAGCGCTTTCATGCGTACGTGTATGGTTTACTTTTCTGCAATTTACTTTACACGCAATTTACATTATCGCATTTACATTTCCGCATCGCATCCGTCCAAAGGAAAAACTTACACATAATTCAACGTTGTGTGTAGTTGCACGTCATTTGCATCATTTCCCCACGATCCTTGATTCCATTCAAGTTGATCATTTAAGTTTAGGACCTACCCCATAGGAAGGACCTTGTCTTAATCTTTACAACGTAGACAAACACAAAACAAACAATACTATACAACTTTTTCAAACACAATAGAGAATAGATGTTAATCATCTTAAGTGAGATATAATCTCCACCTCCACAACAATACAACCAAACATGTAGGAACTTTGTCTTAAGAGTGATAAATGCATACTTGGCGACCATCCGAGTATTTAAGACCTTTTCTTAAGACGATGCAAAGACCATTTCCTACAACCCCTCTTACATTTGTGGTGGTTATCTCTCCCTTAACATGAAGACTCGTCTCTTCTCCTAAACCCAATCAAAACAACTACCCTAAACCCGTAGGAACTTTGACCACAGTCAAAGAACTCCTCTAACCCTTTAGGGGAACTACAAATACTCTGATTCCACTCCCGTAAAGATATGTAGGCATAAGATGCGATATCTTATCGAGTATACTTAGAAATAAACCACTAGGGTCTTTAATCCTTTAAGCAGATAAACACTTAGCAATAAACAATATAAAACAAGAGGTTCCTGTAGAGTACTACAGAAACTTAGGATGCTAGTACCTTCCATAAGTTTAACCAACCCCCGAACCTAAACAATCTAAACCTTGCATTTGCATTGCATTGTGGAAATTTCGATCTTTATCCCTTCCTTTGGACAAATCAAAGTTCGGTTGCAAAATAAATTAAAGATTCAAACTAATCAATAGTTTGGTATCCAAATTTCACCGCGACAGTATCCAGAGAAGGTCATGGACTCTAGGGTGACTGTGAAGGGAGGAGTGACTATGCAACAAAGTCTCATTAAATGGAAGCACAAGACATGGAAGGATAATGCAGTGTTGCAGGGTCAATTTTCAAATTTTTGTCTTGAGGACACGGTTGTTTCTATGGAGGCGGGAGTTGATAGAAAGGTGAATTAAGTGGTGGGCGTTGACAGTGGCCCAAACTAAAGGTTTAGAGGGTTTACATGAGAAAGAAAGAGAAAGGAATAAGGGATAATGACGTGGCTGCATAATTTGCATGAGAGATTTTCTATATTAGTGGGTGGAGTCAGAGAGAATAATCAACTGAGAATTCTGTTATTGTGTGGGGTCACTTAATCAGCTCAGAGTTCTGTTATTATGTGAGGTCACTTTCACAGTGATTTGGGAACACTGCGTGCTACAGGGGCTGATAGTGATTGTCACTATTAGTTTTGTTATTTTGTCATGTGATTGTCACTATTAGTTTTGTTATTTTGTCATTATTCATTCTCTTTACTCTTGTAATTGATTTTCTATTAATTCCACTGCAGTTTTATTCCATCCCTTTATTTTTTTCTCCACTGTTTGTGCATATTTTTCACACATCAACCCATCAGCATTTAAATCTAATTTAAATAAAATTATACGGTGAACATTATTACTATGTATTCAAACCAAGCATAACAATTTGGTGATGAATGAGTATGTCAGAACTGGGAGAAGTTATACTCAACCCTTACAGTCCCTATATTAATAACATTGTTCTATCGATTTTAGTTTGCTCTACAGATGTTGAACAAATCCAAAGTTATGTAAAATTGGTTTGGCTACATTATACTGGCAAAAACTTATCCAGAAAAGTTTATAACAAAATTTAGCAGGAATTCACATATTTAAGAGTGGCCGTTGGAGCAGATAAATTAACACAATCCATCTTATCCAATGTTCAATATCACTACGATCCTGGCTCCTATTCTGCCGGACGGACACTTGCTTAGTAAATTACTACCGTTGCATATATGACAGCGTTAAACCAGGAAGGGAGGCACATGAAGGAGGATATATATCTTTTGCAGACATCAATGAATTCACCACGTCTTGTATTTGATTAGTTAGCATGAAAATGTCTTCAGCTGAATTCTTAGCTGCCCATTCCTCTATCACCCTGCACAAATCACAAATGGATTAATTCGTAGGCAGAAAAAGGAAAAGTAAAAAAATATTTACATATTATATAGACTTTTCCAATTAATAGAGCAAGTATACTAGAATAGATAACTTGATAACTCACCTTAATTGAGATTCTGTTGCAGCTTCAGAGTCAGAAAAAAGGACCTTGATGACCGGACGTAGCTGTAATTTAGGATCTGGGTCTTTGTCCTCTGCTCCAAAGCAATAACCAGAACAGGACCAAGTATCTAGATTTAAAAGAATGATTTGCAGGACAGGAGATTTGGTTTTCAGATCTCTAACAACGAACCGAAATGTTGACTCATCATTTGCACACTCGGCCAACCGATTCGCAAACATTTTGTCCATTGTGTAATTGCTGGTGACAAATATAATGCATTAGATTTATTCGGTGTGTCTATGAATCCATATTTACAAATCAAACTTTAAATAGTTTTAAGAAATCACTATCATGGAATAGACTAGAATGCACAATGTGGATGCAGCCATGCCAGTACATCGGCAAAGTAAAGAAGAAACATCATGCCACATATAAATTACTCAATCATTATTGCTTAATATACATTTGATGATTAACCAACAGCGAATTTTCAAGAATGTTAAAACCATGTCTAAAACTATTTAGTCTTTCATATAAAAATGCATGAAATTGGTTGGTAAAATCTCTGTACACACTATTAGTATAGAAGAATGAAAGATAATGTTACTGGGAATAGAGACATAACTTTGGCCCATCTTTATTTGAGCCATATTTGTTGACACACATAAAGAGACCTTAAGTTGACAACTCACAGTCAACATTATCTTAATAAGTTTTATAAGAAACAAAGAATTAATATATTTTTTCCCATGCTACATTTCTACTGCAATTATTATTTATCACATTCCTTATTATTCCCAAATTTTGCAATAAGTTGAACCAAGCTATCCACTGAGACATTAGTTTCACTTATTTAGCAATATTTCTTGTTACTACATCTACTTCTTCACGGTCAGCTACAATCGAGTCATAAAGGCATAAAACTTACTAAGTCGCCATTTCTCTTCTTTGATAAAGAATTACAACAGGAATAAAGTGAATTTAGTCATTCTATGCAAACCTGAAAATGTCCCCTGATCCTAACACTGGCAGACAGGTTGAAATATAACATTTGAACAGCCGTACTCCTCCATCTACTGGCGCACATCCCTCACAACACGGGTAGGCTCCAAGGAGAGTTGCGCATTGCGGGCATGTAAATTCATGCCAATCAATATTCTTTGAAAGATTTGATGATCTAGCCATGAAAACATCTTCAAGAAAACCATTAAGGAAAGACTTCTGATTTCCCACAATTTCCACAGTTTCAATCTTCCTAGCATTTGAAGATAAATGATGTTCACCGTCTTCATTTCCTAGAGTGCTCATTTTATGAGTACAACAACTAGAAATACTGGTCGTGTGTTCAATGTCATTCAAATCTAGACAAATACGAGTAAAATCACTGCAATCAGGTTCATTCTTGGCAACTTCGTTAAAATTCAAAGAAAGCTTTCCATTCCGAGGATGGGCAACCTTTGCATTCTCATCAAAAGCACAGTGCACTTCACAAGCATCACTGCAAGTCGAAGTTATTTCTTCATTCAACCCAAAATTCCCAATGCCTTCACTAACAACATCAATACCAAAATCACCGGCTACATAATCACACCCGTGCAGCTGTCCACACCGCTCAGGAAAGTCACTTTCCACAAGATCATCCTTGCTAAAAGTGACAGATGTAGAGCTCAGCAGGCACATCCCTTGTGCACACGTGTGAGAATTCACATACCTCGTCACCAGCTTCTCACTTATACCTCCAAACGAACAACAACAAGCACCAAACCAATTGTCAGCCACCTCCCTCCAATTCGCTGACGGCATTTCAACAAAATTCCTAATAATCGTTGTAAACCACATAACAATAATAAGAACTTCAATCTACTTTTTTAAATCTCAATTTCATACAATGATAAAATACCCAAAGAACTCCACTAACCTATAACAATAGAGGTAACCAAAGAATAAACAACATACCTGATAGGTTTATTGGTCAAATGGTATCTACAACTTCTACAAACAAATTCAACTTCTCCAGCTGAAGACAGTTTGTCTACATCTGAACCAAAAAATGATAATAATAAGCAAAAGCAAGCAATGAGAATCGAAAACGGAATATTGAGGTTATTACCGTATTCGATTAGGAGAGGTTGAGGTAACGGCGAAAAAGCAAGCAATGAGAATCGAAAACGGAATATTGAGGTTATTACCGTATTCGATTAGGAGAGGTTGAGGTAACGGCGAGGTTTGATGAAGTGCGAAGAGGGCAGGGTGGTCGACGGGGAGTAAGAGGAGGAGTTTGACTTCGATATGGTCGGTGAATGAGCGGACGGTGGGAGGAAGCTCGGCGTCGAGTAAGACAGTGGGAATCGGAACCCTAAGGGAGAGGGAGGAGGAGGAGGAAGTGAGAGTGAGGAAAGTGGGTGGAGAATGAAGGTGAACAGTGAGATTGTGGTGTTGGAGAGAGAGGTTTAGGGTTTTGGAGAATGGAAAAAGGAATAAGCGGAGGATTGGTGTGTGAGATTGTGATTCCCATGTGTATCGCCATTTTTTGTCTTCAATTTCAGCTTCAGCCCCCATTTTCCCACCGCAACAGACAAAACGGGTAATGAAAGACAATGAAGTGGAAAGACGAATAAAAAAGAAAAGAAGTGGAAAAAACACAAAAAAGTGGAAAAAACACAATGTGTGGCTGCTGGGATTCGAGCCCAGGTCTCCACGGCCACAACGTGGAATTCTTACCACTAAACTACAGCCACATTGATGAAAGCAGTTTTCTACTATTATTTGTTGTCTAAAATATTTTAATTATTGTCACTAACTTTTTATCACCCGTATCTGATATTTATTCATTCATAAATTATTAATGTTTGTTTTAATTTGTGGTCGTGGGATTCAAGAAAGCTAGATAGATAATGTTGTGTTTCTAAGTGTTTTTAATATTTCAAAATAAAAATAAACAAGCATAGATTTTTATATTATTTAGTGGGGTTAAATATGTTTTTATCCTTATAAAATTATAAAATTTTGTTTTTGATTTCTATTAAAAAATGATATGTTTTGGTCCTTATAAAATAATTATGCATATAATTTTAGTCTCTATTGTTAAATTAATGTATATTTTTAAATAATTATTTTACAGATATATTTAGAACATTATAAAAAGTTTTTCGGAAAAAAAAACTCAATTTAATTTATAAGTCGAAATTTTCATTACTTTTTTATTATCTTTTGAAATTTAAAAAAATTATATTTAATTATTCTTATTTTTAAAAATTATATAATTTGATAAAGAAATATTTCATAGTAATCTGAACACGTATGAAAAAAATTATTCAAAAATTTAAAAGTTTGGGGTAATTAAATAGTTTTCAAAATTTTTAAAAATATCAAGGACTAAAACTGCATGCAAAATTTTTTTGTAGGGATCAAAATATGTCCTTTTTTTTATATGGACTAAAAATGAAATGTGAGATATTTATAAGAACCAAAAACATATTTAACCCTATTTAGTAATAGGTTTATGCAAGGAATTCAGATTAGGCATGACAACAAAGTCGGGCGTGAATGGATTTTACTTTCTTCAAACTTAAGAATGTAATACATATATAATAAAGGAATAATTTTCAAACATCCATAATAGCTCAATAGGCAAACAAATTTGTCTATGCACATGGATGATTTGGGTTTCACTGTACCACGTCAAAAATTTTCTAGACCAAATTTACTGAGGGGGCTAAATAGGGGTATTTGAAAATGACTTACAAGGGTGTTTTTCCGACTCGCCCCATATGACAAGGGTAAAATGAGTATTAACCTAAATATCAACTATAATTGGCTAATTGTGTTTAATATCTCTGTCAAACTATAATGTATGTTATACAATCTTAGTTTGGCAGAAGAAAGAGTATGAAATGGAACACTTTGCAATGACTTAGTGAACATATCAGCCACTTGTTATCCCGTAGAAATTGGGAAGAGATGGATGATGTTGTCTTGTATTTTGTCACAAACCATACGACAATCCATTTTGATGTGTTTGATGCGCTAAGGAAAAACTGGGTTATTCGCAATATGAATGACATATTTATTATCGTAGTAAATAGTAACAAGTTTGTTGTATGAAATTACAAGATCTTGTAGTAAGCATGACTCTCTTTTATATCTTACTGCATCCAGGCCGAATATTATGTTTAGCGTATGTATGTGCGCTCGTTATCAATTGGTTCCTAAAGAATCTCACTTAAAAGTCGTAAAGCGTATTTTTAGGTATCTTTATGGTACTTCTAAATATGAGCTTTGGTATTCTAAGGGAAGCGATTATAATTTGGTTGGTTATATCAATTTTGATTTTGTCGGTTGCAAATCGGATAAGAAGAGTACTAGTGGAACTTGCCACATGTTTTCAAATGCCTTTCTAAGTTGGCATAGCAAGAAACAAGTTTCTGTTACGTTGCCAACTGCTGAGACGAAATACGTAGCAGCTGGTAGTTATTGTGCTTAAATTTTATGGCTCAAACAACAACTACTTGATTTTAATATAAAACTACAACGTATTCCTATTATGTATAAAAACAGTAGTACTATCAATCTAACAAAAAATTTGGTGCTACATTCTCGCATTAAGCATATTGAGATTCCTCAACACTTCCTACGTGACCATGTTGAAAAAGGAGACGTCGTATTTGAGCATGTCGATTTACAAAATCTCTTTCGACAGAGCCATTTTTCAACATTCGAACGGAATTGGGGATACTCGACATCTCAAATCTTGCCTAAAATATGACTTGTTGCATGCACTTTATATATTCTTACTATAACTTTCCTTGGGGGTTCTATTACTTAAAAGTGCATTCTTCATCAACTCATAAGCAAAACAACATTGTTCCATTTTCCTTTTCTTTTGTAAGGTTTTATTGTTGCATGTTGCTTGCATTCCAAATTATTGATATTCTTCATGTATGAAGTAGTTCATGAATACTCACTTTCAAAAATTTCTATTAATATATGTACATTATATGATTATAGTGATTTTGTACTATTCCATTTATATGTTTTAACTATACTCTTGGTGCACTTAGCTTTTTATGTATTCTTACATGAAATAGGTTGAACATGTTATAATGCTAGCAAAATTTTTGTTGTGTGTCATTGTTATGATAACATCTCTGTTTTTGGTTTGAGTGGTGATAAATTTGTCTATCGCCTTTCTAAAGCACATGCGTATGCAACATTTCGGGAGCACCAAAGGCATATGTCACATAATCATGACGCTTTTGTAGAAACTCAAGAGTTCGTGGTTTCATTGTATCCTTCATTTTTTCATGTTTGTGTTAGGTTATTTGGAAAAAGTTGTAGAAATTATGTTCTATTGTTGCTTATAATGCTTGTATTTATGTTTAGTCATTCTTTGCAATATGAAAATCATTATATGTGAGTGTTATCGTATTGATGTTCTTATCTTTCCAAATCTCCTATGTATATTATATTGGTTTGTATGTGATATAAGATATTTCTCATTTTTGCTTTGTCTCTCTTTGATGTTGTCAAAAGGGGAGAAGCATCTAAAGAAAGATGAAGTTAAATGCATATATTCAGAGGAGTCTTTATGAAGACACGAAATGTCACAAAACAGATCGTCTCAAGTTTTTCCATCATAAAAAAGGGGGAGTATGTGAGTGCAAGTTTCCCTTAGATATATTTTGTATGATGTCAAAACTATGATTCGTTAGCGTTAATGTATATTGGAAAATATCCTTTGATTCTATATGTGCATCTTAGCATTAGGAAGCATTAAAATGTTTTGGATAAGATCATACATAAAAAAATTGCATTGAAAACAAATTTTATGAAGTGCATTATAGTATGTGTTAACACATACGACTATAGGTCGACACATAGAAGAAAATTTTCTTTTATAGCTCGACACATCCAGTCTATAAGTCGACACACATGCTGCAGTTTTAAAGTCTGTAGGCTGTGTCCACGTGCTGACTGCTATAGGTCGACACAAAACCTTCATAGGTCGACCTAAGACCTTTATATGTCGAACTACAACTTTCATAGGTCGACTCATACGATGCATTTTTTCAAAAAACACAATTTTCTCTATTCTTGTGCATTTTTTTTTACTTCTAAACTTGCATACTTATAAATACTTGATATATGCATCATTTCTAGTAAGGTTATAGAGTAAACCTATATGAAATCGAGATTTCAAAGCATTCTCATCATCTTCAACCTCTTTTCTACGCATACACATAATCAAACTACACTTAATCATTTTTTAATTAGGTGATCATCTAGATTAGGGTTGATAATGTCCAATTAGGTTGTTGTACCAAGAATATTGGGTTGAGAACTTTGAGGATTTCAAATAAGAAAATTGATATGGGTTTTCCTTCAAGATCGTTGAGGATTTGAAGGTTTTAGACAAAATTACGCAATTTGGATCCGATCAAGTGAAAGCCTTGGGACAAGGGGTACCTTGCAAGGGAGTAGCGTGAGATGGTGGGTCGTATTGGTAAATCTTATGTTTCAACAAGTGTGCATTTGTGATTAATTCAGTCGGGTGAAAGCCTTGGGACAAGGGGTGCCTTGCAAGGAAGTAGCAAAAACAGGTGAATTGAAACAACATTGTTTGTTACTTGATCAATCTTTGATCAATGATTTTGGAGGTGATAGAATCAACAACAAACTTAGGGTTTGTAGGTTTATAGTTACTCATCTCTTGTATACATACGTTTACAAAGTAAGATATATTATAATATCTCAATTTGAATTCGAATTGAGGGAAGACGTAGCCATAACGATACCGATTGGGGAACAAGCTAAAAAAATCCTTGTGTACTCTCTCTCTCTCTTAATTTTGTGTTTGCAAATTATTGAATTCACTTTTCACTTGGAAATCATTTTTGATCACATTTTGAATTAGGTTTTGTTGATATAATCATAATCCGTTTGATTATGATTGGATTTTTAAGATCAACAAAACAAAGTAAATTTCTAAACGATATCGATTACACACACAGTGTTCGATAACTTTATTTATTGTGTTTTTGTGTGTTTTGATTATTGGGAATAAGCTCTACGGTATAACATTAGCATTCAATTGTTTATGATTAATAGCTGTTGATTAATTTGTGTTCATTATCATACGTTTGTGTACCTTTACGTATATCTGAACTTTTCGATAGAGGTTCAGTTAGACGATTTGATTTGGGTTGTTTCCGTTGTGCCATAAAACTTTTCAAATTTATTTTTGCCAAAAGTTTTTATGTGTAATCTATTCATCCCGCTCTAAATCGAAGCCTATTGTCTAACAAATTTAATCTTGAAAATCTATTTATAGCGTATGGGTTTTTTTGTTAGGAGAGATAGGTACAAGGTCCCAAATATCGGTAGCATTGAGGGATTCAATCTCATTGGCAATAGCTTGCTGCCAATTTGGGTTTTTAATAGCTTTAACATAAGAGGTGGGTTCATTCAAAGAGGATAAGTTAAGATTAAATATCCTATGGCTATCAGATAAATCATTGTAACATAAGAAATTTTGAAAAAGAAACCGTATGTTACCTCTG